GACTCTCCAACTCTGGACTCTTCTGAGCAAGTCTACATCTCTTCTCTCGCCCTCCTAAAGATGCTTAAACACGGTAACTTAGGGTTTTTTCCCCAACAATCTTCGCTCTTTATACACTTGTTATCCGGATCTAGCTGCATATATATACTTATCCGTGTTATTGCTTTTAGATATACCTGTGTGAAGAAATTCTAAAATTGAGATGTAGCTTTATCGAGCCTGCGGAGTTTAAATTTTAGATTAGTTTCTCTCTGTGTGTTTAGGTGTTGTGTAATTAGGGTTTTTTTGTGATGTTAATGTGCAGGGAGGGCTGGAGTTCCTATGGAGGTGATGGGATTGATGTTAGGGGATTTCGTCGATGAGTATACAGTGCGTGTTGTGGATGTGTTTGCAATGCCTCAGAGTGGTACTGGTGTGAGTGTTGAAGCTGTTGATCATGTTTTTCAGACCAATATGCTTGACATGCTCAAGCAGACTGGGAGGTAATCACTGTTTGCTATTGGTATCATACAGGATTAGTTGTAGTTTAAAGGTTCTTCCTTTAGCTGGGTAATATTTTTTTTTCCCTATGGTTTATCATATGTTTATAGTTGCCTAACAAATTGACAAGTGAAACATGTTTTCCAGGTATATTAATTTGGGTAAATTTGGGGGTTTTGAGCATTTTCTTTGTGTTTCTTTCTCATGTCAATTGGTATGACACTGTAAAAGGGATGCTTGATTGCGAATTAGAGAACTGAGCCATTTTATGTGTTCTGTTCAACTTTTGATGAGGTTAAACTAGATATGGAAGGTTTCAATTTCTGGCTGCTGTTTGAACTATTTCCTTCATAAATGGGATTACGGGAATAAGATAGTGTTTGGCACCTAATTTGGAATGTTGTGACTTGTGAGATAGTATTCTTCTATGTTGCAACATTCTTATGATTTGAAAAGAAAACTTTGTTTGCATTTCATTATGTTTTACAATTTCAGAGTCACTGCATTTGTAGACTTTGGTTTAACCCCCAAGTGTTCGCGGAATAGTTATGGCTCTTATCTGTAAAAGTAGCTAAATATATACAAGACAAGATATTATGAAACTTCTAGCTGAATCTTTTCTGTTTACATTAAAGTGTGAGACTTATTTGTTTGTTTCAAGAATATCTTTTGATCTTCATTTTTGTCTGGATAGATAATTTGTTGAGGTCTCTGTCAACATAAGAACCAACTTTTATATGTGATCTTCAAGATAGAGTGGTAGCTTTATTTGTGAATTGTTCTCTTTAAGCTTTGTGGTAAAGATCCTGGTGTATTTGCTGAGAATGTAGTGGTCAGGCTGTTATCTTAATCAATTTTGGCTAGGAGATGATTATTTGGAAATTGGAATAAGTTTCCTTGAGCTTTTGTTAAAACTGAACTTCAAAGCTTTTATTAGAATCCACCTTCAAAACTGCTGGCGTCACAAAGTTGAGGGGATGTCCTATAAGAATTTAGGCATGACGAATTAGCAGGTAAGTGATAAGAAGATTAAGGTTAATCATGTACAATCTAGGAGTTGTCCGCGGAAATTAGAAGACCTGGTAAATGATGGGAAACTAATCAGTTTAGATGGCTTGCAACATGAGGTAGAAGATTAGGATATTTCATGAACCTATTCCTTGTTCTCATCTTCTAGTTGTGGAATACTGTTGATTTCTATCCGTTGGGTTGTCCTTTATGTTGTAATGTTGCCTGATCAACTTGTGTACTTATCTTCTTTGTGTTTTGACACCAAAGATGTGCCCTAAAATGCCACTTTGCTTTTATGTTACAGACCTGAGATGGTTGTTGGTTGGTATCACTCACATCCTGGATTTGGCTGCTGGCTTTCTGGTGTTGACATCAATACTCAGCAGGTTATTCTTGTCCTTTTCCATTTCGATGGTTAGCTGGTTCCTAATGACATTTGAAATGTTCTATGTGAATCATGAGCTACTGAGTAAGAATAGTTCACGATACTGTATGAGTCCTTTTGTAGTTAATCCAATCATCCCGAGTTAAATGATTTTCTCTGATTAATATGGAATTGAGAAAAAACTTTATAAAAATGATGGTATTAAGAAACACAAGATTGAATTTTCTGTAATATGAAATTTGACCAAGGTGGTGAAATGTGGCATGGTAATACCATGCAAAGCTGTACTATTTGTTATCCCACCTTTTTGAAATGGTGTAGATCAATAATTTTTCACAAGGAGAAGGGTTACGTTCCTGGAGCCTGTATAGAAGTATTGGAAAGTGCTTTATGAAGATCTTATGCGCTTTCATCATTTGAATTAAGTGCTGAATTGGAACAGTTTCTTTTAATTTTAAAATGCATTCTTCCTTATAGTTAGACACTTGTAGTTGTTTCGTACAATGACCAAATAAGTTAAGATCACAATACCATCCAGGTAAAGAGAGTTATAGATGGGGTAGTGCCTAGTGCTGTGTTTGGTAAAAAAAAAGGCAGAATAGAGAGATGAAGGGTGGGAGGGAGAGGTTGATTCCTTCTTCAGGGTTGAAAAGGAGAGAGAGTGTGTGTTAGAGGTGATTAGAAGATGTTGAAAGCTGCTCTTATCAGTTGTCTTCTGTCTCCACTCTCCACTTTGCTAGGGAGCTTTTTTTTTGCTTCTCACGAGAATGAGATCACATTGTTATTCTTACACACACACCATAAATAAATGAGACCACACTGGTATGGTTATCTTTTGCATTCTAGAGCTGTAATTTGTTGGGATCTCCATATGATAATCCTGCTCTCTATGATATAAATAGGAAGTCTGATTAGCAAGATACAAGTTGAACTTTCTTTATGATAGACAAAATCCTCTGGACAGACCATGATAGCATTCTGTCTCGACTAGCATTGGAGAATCATAGAAATGGACTGAAACAAAAATCTATTTGCAGCAAAAATTAGAAAGATAAGAAAATAAAAACTTGTGGCAAAAGAGATGTCTCCCATCTCTTCCTCCCTTATAGATAACAGATAAAGAAGGGGATAGTGAGAAGTAGAGTGAATAGTTTATACAGCTTTGCACTCTTGAGTAGTCGAGTGTTCAATTGGATTTTGGTAAAAGCAGATGAGCACATGAACCTATCAGAATGTTGATTTGGTGTGTTTGGCATGGTCTTCATGTGAAGTATGCCAGTTATTTGACATGGTCTTCATGTGAAGTAAGCCAATAACTAATGAATGTTCTATTGTGCAGAGTTTTGAAGCACTGAATCAACGAGCAGTGGCTGTGGTGGTGGATCCTATTCAGAGTGTTAAAGGGAAGGTGGTAATTGATGCCTTTCGCTTGATCAATCCCCAAACTATGATGCTTGGCCAAGAGCCACGACAGACAACATCAAATCTGGGACATCTGAACAAACCATCTATTCAAGTAAGTGACATTATTGATCTTTATATTGTCTTTGACAGATGTTACTCCCTCTCCTCCCCACCCCCACATATCCAGTCTCAGTGTATGAGCAAACCTCCTATTTTACTTCCTGATATTCAGCCGTTCGTTGGTGGTGATACTTCTAAATGGAACATCTACACGACTTCCACAAGTTATTTAGTAAAATAAAGTTCCACTAGTTTTAGAAAGTCTACTTAGTTCATATTTTCCAATTTAAACCTGGTTTCCAATAACCAATCTTCAACTTCTTTTATATGTCCAAATGTGTTTTGCGCAAACTTCGTTGATGGAGTACTTTCAGTTTCAATTTCTATTTCGGGTTCTAACAGATGCATCTTGCAGGCATTGATCCATGGTTTGAACAGACACTACTACTCAATAGCCATAAACTACAGAAAGAATGAACTTGAAGAGAAGATGCTACTGAATCTTCACAAGAAGAAATGGACAGATGGACTTGCTCTCCAGCGTTTTGATGCTCATTCCAAAACCAATGAGCAGACGGTTCAGGTAATCTATGTGTTTGCATGGTATTTAAATACAACAGCATTGTTACATCAAGTGCCAACTTCTTTTGATGATTATAAGTACACAGAATATGCTTGCTGATATGTTTTTCATCTCTGCCTCTCCCTGCGAGAAAAGAGAGCATAAAACTAGGAATAATGTCCTTGACATGCCGCGTGACGTTTTCAAATATTCTCTTGTGCAGGAGATGTTAAACCTTGCTGTCAAGTATAATAAAGCAGTGCAGCAGGAGGATGAGTTGTCCCCAGAAAAGCTAGCTATTGCAAATGTAGGAAGGCAGGATGCAAAGAAGCATCTTGAAGAACATGTCTCAAATTTGATGTCTTCAAACATTGTCCAGACATTGGGAACCATGCTCGACACTGTTGTCTTCTGAAGTTCATTTCTCCCAACTCTGGAAAAGTTGTGTTTTTAGTAGTGAAATAGGAACAATTCTTTCTGCTGTTTTTTTTCCTAAGAAAATGAGACCTAGTACTTTGTTTCTCTGTGATAGCAGCTGTTATACAATATGGTTATGCTATCTTAAGATGACTTCGGACATAATAGTGTTTTATCTTATTTACTGAACCATTTACCTAATTCAGTGCCTCTCAATTTCAAGAGTATTTAAGGGTGGACGTGGGAAGGAGGTACATGTCACTCCGTTGGGTATTTGTTATCTTTCACTAGCACAGATCTTAAAATGTTCACCAAGGTCTTTAGTCACAAATTTCTGAATATTACAAAAGATTTATAGTATCTTATTTGAATTACTCAAATTACCTATAAACAAATATACAAATCAAAGAGAATCCTCCACATTTGGACTTTTCTACCTTTATGTATGTATAGGTAATAGGCCTACCAGAAAGAACAAATAATTTTATCTATATATATTCCTTTTGAATTAACAAACTTAAAAATCACAGAGTATAATCTACGCGCAAGATGAAAGCGATGGAATTTATTTATTATTGCTGTATATACAAATTTGTCATGAAAACAACAGCCTAAAGCAACATCCACATCAACTTATTAAGACCTGAACTCTTGATCACATGACAGTAACCTTATCGACTACACCAAGACAGTCACTTTTCATTAATAAAAGTAGCCCAAGATTTGACCAAATCAAGTGCTTTTTCACTATTAGGATTAAATATGTGAAAAACATGATCTTCCCCTTTAGTTTCAAAGATTTCAACTTTTCCTTTCCACTGACTCTTCATCAAAGATTCATAGTACAATATTCCTCTGTCTCTCAGTATATCCAATTCTGCTACACAAACAAGAACTCTTTCACAAGCCAATTCTTCAAGATTTGGTGCTTCATCAACAAAAGGATTGATTAAAGGGTCATTATTCCCTTTATTTGATGGACAAACAAATTCCCACCATTTATCTACCATTGATTTTCTCACTGAATCTTTAATCTCTATCCCAATTGGCTCTTCTCCCCAAAAATATGGACTAATCATAAGCATCCCAGTAAGCTTCATCCCTAAACCTTCATCTGCTCTTATTGCCATGAAGTGTGAAATATTAGCACCTGCACAAAGTTTTATTTCACGTATGGTCAATGAACTACAATACCCATTGTGACGATAAACAAACCTATTTTTTGTACCATAAAAAGATGACTTAACTTTAATATTAAATTTATCTCTACGAGCTAGGTAGGAATAAGATTTGTATATACGTGCACCATCCTTCTCAGACCTCGCTATTATTGTTGTTATAATAGATAAAATTCAGAGATGTACATGAAATTAACATCTCTTGACCAAAATAACCTTTCTTAGATCTCTTATGTGTAAAAATAACGATTATAAGTGGCCTATACAAAACCATATAAACTCTTACCTGCACTGTCCCCTGCCAAGAAAACAGTATCAAAGTCAACAAACTCATTCAACCAAACTTCATTCCCCTGTTTTGATTTATGTTGAGCCACCCATTGAAGAACAAACCAAGAATCATCATAAGCTGTTGGAAGAGGATGTTCTGGAGCTAATCTATAATCCACTGAGACAAGAACAACATTAGCACAAGACACAAACACATTAAGAGAATCATGGTACTTAGGATCACCAATAGAGGATATACAAAATGCTCCACCATGAAAATAAACTACTAAAGGAAGTTTTTTAGATTTTGTTGCTGAATTAGGTCGATAAATTCTGGCAGAAATGCCTGATTTTGGATCTATCAAAACATCTTTGGATGTAACATTAGTTTGAGAGTCATAGGTTGCTGGTGTGAATTCAGTGCCTACAAGTCTTTTGATTGTTCCATTTTTGTACACTTGTACATATGGAAAAACATCATGCACAATTTCAAGATTGTTGGATGTGTCCATTTTTTTGTTTTGGGGGAAAGTGATTTTTGGTAAAAACAATGGGAAGGAAGGAAGGAAGAAAAGAGTGGTGCTATACAAAAGCAAAAGACACCTTTGATGGGTGGTTTTATATTGTGTGTGATTTGTGTCCATGACATATTAATTAAATGGGGCCCATACTAAAGTCGTTATTGGCGTGATAAGTACTTCTCCATTTATGACTAGAAGTTTGACATTTGAATTTTGTGTATGAAGTTATTTTTAGTCAACAGCATTTAATTGTGAGTGGAAGTACTTAATGTAAATTTAAATTAATCAAAGTTTTAAATTAAATACTCATCGAGAGAAGAAATAAAAAAGAAAAGTAGGATCCATCTACTACTTTTGAATTATTCCCCTATTATTTATTTTTGGATCGCACACGACATAACTTATTCGAGAGTGACACTCCCAATAATATTTTCTCCCAATCAAATAATTTATTCATCATAGGGAATGGTGTATGATTGAAGTAGACAAGCTTAATTTTCATTATTTTTCTTGTTCTTATTTATCTACCAATAATGAATCATCCCACACAAAAATAGGGGTGAAATTAACCGTGTAAATTATTAATTCGATAGAACTCATTTGATTTTAATTCAAAATTTTATATATTTATTCTTAAAATTTAATAGATAAAGTAAATTATAATTCAAAATTTTGTAATTTAAAAATCTTGACTCCGTCTAAAAGAATATCCTCTCAATCTCAACGATCGGAGATAATGACATCTGAGAATAAATATCTCTATTTTTTAAATTCAATATCTTAACTTCAAAGGAATGATTTCATAAACCAATTGATTGTTGGGGTACATTAGACGACTCACTAGATAACTATTTTAATTTTAAAAAAAATGTGCACATTTAAAGACACGTACACTCTTAATTATAGTTTTTTTGTTTTAATGGAAAAATTATCTGTACCACATGATTACACAAGATGGCATTTGTTAGCTATCAATATTGCTGTGATTAAAAAAAAGTATTTAGACCATTTCAGCGCAAAAATGTTATTATCGGAATGAATATTTGATTGCACAGAATTAGAAAAGTCGCAATCAGTGAACAATGAAAATATTATAGAGTGAGAATAAATAAGAAAATATCACTTGAAATAGTTTGATTGCATCATATGCTATTGACTATTGTTATAAATGAGGATTGTTATTGAGTAAGTTTTAAATGGTGGGAGCGTAGCGGGGAGTTTTACTTAGCTAGGGTGAGACATAACTCATAAGCCTCGAGACGTGAGGCATAAGCCGTATGAATTTTTAATTTTTTATGCTAATAATATAAAATTATAAAAATACACCAATAATTAGAAATATGATTAAGAAAACTCATAGAAAATAAAACTTATAACATGATTATACAAGTATAAATAATCTAATGTCTTAACTTTCTAGTAATAAAAGAATTATTGTTTCTAAAAATATATTATTATCATACTATACAATTTACCTCTTAAAAAGAAAATAATCAATAAAACTTACTAGTATTATGATAAAAACATCACTCCATCTTGAATAAAAATAAAATTACTTTCAAATAGCTAAACAAAATATGATAATTTTGAGTCATTGAAAAAAAAACATGAAGACCAATGATAAGCGAAAAAGTAAAATTTGCTATGTATTTTTTTAAAATGTTACGTAGTATATAATCGCATTCACAATATTACCAAATAGTAATGATGTGATACTACAACTTGTTATTTGAGTTACTCTCAATCTTCTTATTTCTATAAATTTAAAAACTATTAAGTATCATTTGTTTATTCAAGAATTATGAGCGTTAACTATAAACTATGTTAACTAAAGAATTTACCACATATTTGTGTAAAATCTGTTAGACGAGCCCCGAACGTTGGACATTGAGCGTGCTTAGGGCATACAATTAGACGTTTAAGATGAAAATCTTATAGAACTAAGCTCCATACTTGAGTGTCGAAGCACTTTGCTAGAGCCCGACCCCAAGGCGAGTCCCAACAAAGTCTTTTAAAACTGCTTTTTAATTTCACTTTTTTTTGCTGATACTTAATAGGTATAATTAATTATTGCACTTGAAGGAAAGAAAAAGTGTTTTACAAAAAAATTACTCAATATACAATAATATGTGTAATCAATTTTTGTAATTTATTAAAATAATAATAATAACAAGGAGAATTTCTATTTTTGCTGGAAACCTACGACCCATTTAGCAAAGAAGAAACCAGAAAGTTAACAGAGAAATGGAGAAAATGGTGCTGATGCGATCTTTGTATCGATCGATATGCCGCAGATCTACGGTCTTCTCCGCCACCGCAGCCGCCACAACCTCCGCCGTCAACCACCAGTCCCTCCGCCACCTCCATTTCTCACCCCAGTCTTTCTCAGCTTCTCCGAGAAACACTGTTACTGGTACTAACATCGTTGCCTTTTTTATTTGGGCATTCTCAAATCTGCTTATACTTGTAGAATTTGTTATCGGATTATGTTATTCAGCTCAATTTGGTTAATGGGTATCCGTTTTTTATGGAAAGATTTTGAATCGGTGATTCTGCTTTCAATATGATGTTTATATTGGTGGGATTTTCTCATGTGAATGTCTGGATATTTTCAATTAATCCATCATATAAGTACCAAAGCTGCAAACTGTGATGGTATTGGATCAATGGTTTTTTTTATGATACACATGAATGGTATTTTGGACTGTTTTTCCTTGCGTTGAGGGTCAATTAGAAACAGTCTCTCTCTAGTTCTGAGGTAGTGCCGTAGGGGTGAGGTCTGTGTGCACTCTATACACCTCAGTCACCACTTCGCGGTACTATACCGGGTATGTAGTTGTTGTACATGAATGTTATTGGATAAGTGGGAGATTTGGTGAACCTGTTTTAAAGAAATCCTAATTTGACTTGAGAAAGAATTTAGTATTGAAATGAAATTGGTCCAAATTCGAATAGGGCATGCATACAAGTCGAGGTAGCTTGAGATTGATTGATTGAGACACCTGAATCATATGTTAGCTCAGGGAGATTTAAACATAGGTCTTTTCTTTGGGCAACAGTTGTGACAAAATATAGGGGGTTTGAAGCTTCATTTCTCTTTTCTTCACTTGAATATTCAATTCTCCTGCCTTAATTTATCAAGGGTTTAGTGTTACTGTACTTTTTAGCTTATGCATCCTTCAGCTCTCTTTAGTATTTCTAATTCTGCTTTGTCATTTCTGATTGTGGAATCATTAGGTTATTCTTATCTACCATGGGTGCTGTTTGCGTATATGTGATGATAAAATTAGGTGTAATTTTATTTTTTTGAGGGGCATTAGATTCCTTAAGCTAATAAAATTCTGACCATAATCCTCATCCAACAAACAAAACTTTTGCTGGCACACTTATATTATTGGTGTCCAATTACTACCAACTAAGTCGTCCTGTGAAAGTTGGAGTTTTAATAAATGTAAGAGTTCAGGTACGTGGTTCAGTGAAGGAGTTGGATTCAAGAACCTGTAGGAGTTGTATTCTCGAATGCGTTATTTATAACTCATGGTTACTGTGACATATTTAGGATTGTTAGTGCAAACAGGCTTTATATGATTACTTCTTAGGTTTCCCAAAGCATATTTTATAGGAGGTGAATCTGCAAAACGAGAAGCTTCTTTATCACCTTCCCCGCGAAGTGCTTGTAGTTTCCTATTCTTTATATTAATTTCATGATCTTGCATCAGGAATTTGACATTACATGGATATTTTTTAACTTTAGAATGTCAGCATCCTTTCACAATGGCAATGGGAAGCATGCGTTCTTTCAGTGAGGATGTAACTCACATGCCTAAGATAGAAGATTCGGAGGTCAAACGCGCTTTTAAAGACTTGATGGCTGCAAGCTGGCATGAGCTCCCAGATCCTGTCGTCTATGATGCAAAGAATGCACTGTCCAAAACTACTGACGACAAGGCTGGCCAGGAAGCTTTGGCGAATGTTTTCCGTGCTGCTGAGGCAGTTGAGGAGTTCACTGGGATTCTTACATCTCTGAAAATGGATATCGATGATGCTATCGGTTTAAGTGGTGAAGTAAGTTGAGTAAATGAAATAAAGGGTTGGCATACAGTTTCTCAAGTTCTTGCTGTTTAAATTACTCATATTGCTGGCAGGATGTGAAGCCTTTGTCAAAAGAATTCTCTGATGCACTGCATACAATATTTCAACGCTACAACGCATACATGAGTGCCTTTGGGCCAGAGGAGGAATATTTGAGGAAGAAAGTTGAGATGGAGCTGGGGACTAGGATGATACACTTAAAGATGCGATGCAGTGGCCTCGATGCTGCATGGGGAAAGGTACATCTAATTGAAGCTAGTTGATTGCGTGAATTTCAGCTTTTCTTTAGGTTATGACTTCTTAAGTACATAGGCTAGTTTTTCATGATTCTTTTATTGTGCCTTTAATATAAACGTTCATGTGCTCAATATTCTCATCCATTAATTTGTATACTAGAAACGTATACCAACTTTCTAATCCTGCAGGTAGTTTTAGAATTCATTTTACAAAATGTTTCCTGAAGATTTTTGTTGCATTTTCTAAATAATAATCTCAGGTATCTTGATGGATGAACTTGTTACCATTATTTGTTTTCTCACTGTTTTGTCCGCCTTTCTGAATCCAGGTTACGGTACTTGGGACTTCTGGACTTGCTGGTTCTTATGTTGAGCAAAGAGCATAGGCCTTCAATCATGGCAGAAAAACCACCATGTTTTTGTCTTCAATCACTTGGAAAACTGTTGTTTTTTTTAGATAATACAGGTTGCTCCAATATGATACATTATGTTGTACTTGATTCTCAAATTTGATCATGTGATTACTACAACAGGCAAATGATAATAATCCTAAAAACTTGTGCAAGGAAATACTTTCTTGAATATTCAGTAAGCTCTACTCTGTTTCTTCAATTGCCTTGTGCTTTTTTACATCAAATTATCTGGATAGTTAATGAATTATTAGCTTTG